TTATCTGTAGGCGGACTTATCTGATGGGAGGGCTTATCTGTGAGATCTTAGCGTAAGTGTATCAGCTGATTCAACAACTAAAGAAAAAGCATAGACCTATGGACTAGCGAATTTTTCAGTGAAAATAACGTGATGTTAGTTTGTGTTTGCTTCCAGCTGGGAAATCGCCAGAATAATGTCGCATGATCTTTTCGACGTCACAGCACGGGAAAAAATTGCCCGACTCGCTTTGCAAAGTGAAGAAGAGATAAATGATTGTGTCCTTATTATGGTGATGAGGAAACACCAAAACGGCTCATCACTTAGACACTTCGCTTTCGTCGTTTCGATCCAAGGATATCCCAACGTTTCAATTGTTCATCTTTTGTCCCCTCCCCTGCATCAGAGAACAATTAAGCGCCAGGGAATATACACTGCGTGTATAGCTTTTTGCCCTCAAAACCAATTAATGTGGAGAAAAAGGAAAGTCAAAAACATGTTTTTGTATCTAATTGCAAATTGATAAGTTACTTTTTCTGAGAAAATTTAGCTAAACTCGTTGGCTCGAGTAGCGTCCACTTTGCGAGCAAATCGCGTGGGATTACAAAAAGATTTGATAAGTTTAGGATTGGGAAGAGAATATCAAAATCCCGGGCTAAAGATGGATAGTTATTTTGTAGAAAAAAGTAAGGGTGTTCCCAAGCCCATCAGAGAAAAATTTAAGCAAATGTAGTTTGAATTTGTGGCTTGAATGACACTCTACCCTGCCAAACACCGCGTTCGGTTATGATTAGTCTTGATCCCAAGACTTACCTGGACTTTGATGTCATCAACAATAACCATTCCTTGGTCTGGCGATTCCGCTCTAAGCGCAATTCGAAATGGCCTCTCAATCCTGGGCAGATCCACCACTACAGGACCAGCAGCAGCTGATTGACAATCGAGCAGGGAAGGCGTCGATTCATCTACAAGACACACCTGAACGTTGGTCGTGAGTGAGCTACTTTTCCATATCCAAATCCATTACCTGGAGCTTGGCAGTTCCGGTGAGCCACAAATTGAATTGGATGCTGACTTCGTTGAGGACACAGCGAATTACCTCAGATAGAAGCATCGTTGATCCTCCAGTTTCCATTCGTGCTACCGCAAATTCTCCGTCTAGCAAAAAAGTATCTATCTCAATTTACATATATGATGTCATTGTGCATGTTTGAAGCTAGCTTAAGTCTAGCAATTTTTAGAAAAATAGCCAATCTCATAATAACTGGCCAATTATCGCCCCTTCCACATGCAACAACTGTTTGATTATCTCAACAGGACCGCCCATTTATTAGAGGTTACTTCCAAAAAATAAGTCTACATATCAAAAATTCAGAGTAAACTCTCAGAGAAAAGCCTAGTCATCTGATGAGGCACCCGCTTTCAGAAAAAAAAAGAATGGAAGCTTGCGGCTTTGAGCAGAAATAGACATGAAATCAAAAATAGAAATCAAAAATAATGA